GCCAAGCACAACTCCTTTTCGTTGCCTATTGGTGTGTGGAATGTTGCCGATTAGATGAGCAATCGAGTGGTTTCCGGAAGTCCAGTTTCTAATGTCTGTTGGGATACAGCATACATGCATATTGTTGGAATACAGATCGCACACAGGTCTATCAAACCGCTTAGATTTGTGCTTGAAATTCTCGAAGTACAACGGAAGGCATTCAGATGATCCGGTATTCTCATGACCGCCATTCACATTCGGTACGGATCATTTGCCTTTTTCGAATGGTTGATCATACACGAAAAGCGGAAGGCTAAAACAAACAATATTTCGACATCCGCGGAGGATTTGCTTTTCAACATGATCCCACTCAGAACACTCAAGACAAGCATTTCAATATCAGTGGGTCACCTAAGGAATTTCTACTGGAAATCATGCATTTAAAACGCGATTGTTTAATACGTTTTTAGTGAACGTTCTGAACTGGGAAAGGCACAATCTCGTTCGAAGGCTTATTATGCCACAAGGTGATTCCTTCACAGATATCAAGCATCCTTTGCTGTGGCCTTCAGCTTGCGGAAGAAAGTCGATCGTTACCAAATAAAGGCTGAAATTTATTGTTTTTGTTACATTATCGCTTTCTTTACCTGAAAATCATAGGTTTTTCTTTATTTGAGGCCTGATATCTTGCTGTCCTTTCGCATTGATTCCGAACCAGAATGATGCTGTTACCGAATAGTTCCTCTGTCTGTATGTCAGTGAAGGTCAACTGGCATGCATCAGCATATATTATTATAGCTTACGAATGTGAAAAAAGTTCAACTGAGCATGTTTCCCCGGAAAATTTGGAATTGTAAGCGTGGTTCTAGGTGGTCAGATAGACTTGACCGAGGTCTTTTTCTGGGAGTATTGTGGTTCCTATTTCTTGATTAACGGTAAATGCACTTTATTATACGGATTAGTGTATCGATTCCTATCGGCAGTTAACCAATGAGTGTCTGATATCACCAACCGTTCGTTTACTTGAGCAAAAATCACCCAGTGGTTAGGGTGGTTAGGGCATGGCAGTTTTGAGGCTACATAGAAACAACTCCATCCACTCAACCCTGGCTGCCTCTCAACCTCTTTAGCTCCCTCACAAATGCCGCATTCGTTCATAGGTGTTTCTGTTTCTTTCAATTCGTGATGATTAAGAAACACTCTATTTGATCGATAACCTCTGGCAGTCAAAGTATCAATCGCATTACGGTGTGTCCAGTACAATACCAGTGGAGAAAGCCTATACATTGACTCAATCCCTCCTCAGATTTGGCTCACCTGAGTCCTGTGTCTTTATCTTGATACGGTTCTAGGTCTTCTACCACTTCTGCTTACGCCTCAATCACCGATCCAAGAAAAGTGCTGCCGTAATACAATAATCTAAATCGGGACACCAGAGGCCAAGTTTAACGGCTATGAATATTGAGACTGGAAAGAAAACTCTATAAGTCACATCAGCAGTTTCACTTATCATGGAAATGGAACAGATAAACCGGTGGAACTGGAAATAACCAAAGTATCTTGTTGGTACGACAGAGTTGCTTGGTTCTGACTGTATAGTGATTATAAATTGACGGGTGTGGTGAACTAGGCTGTAATACAATCTGTATGTCACTTTCAGTCCCTACGCACTGATCACCTCAAAGTAAATAAGTAAAAAAATTGTGCAGATAGAATTTTGTTTGTTAAAATCATTTTTTTAACTTACTTAGCAAGTGAGTTGTCGAACAGGTTGAGGAATTGCCTCAGCGAAGTTTGATACATACAGTTGACCAGGCTCATTTCCACAATCAAGAAATACAGTACCGAGCCTCTAGTCGCAATCGGTCGATATTCTTCTCTTGCTGCGGTTATTTGGATTTCGGTTTCCGATGCGATTTCTAGCTTACGACTGACATCGGCTGCTGTGGCTTTCGTCGTATTCAACACGTTGATTAGATCGACATCATCAACCAGCGAACCTTGTACACTGGCCAGCCGAAGCAGAAGATTGTCCTCAAGCTCTTTGATTCGCTTTTTATTCGTCTGCACATCCTCCATCAGGTTGACACGCTGAGTTTCTAGTTCCTGACGTTCACTGATAATTACTCGACCTAATAGTTGATCTTCTAACCCCTTCATGGTCACTGTAAAATCGATTATCGATGTGCGTGCGGAAACCTCTGGTGCGTACATTGGATTGGCCATTTTGGTCGTGATGTACAATTTGAATCCGGTTAAAACGTCCACCTCTTTGTCACCAATTTTAACCTTGAATCAAGTGGGAAAGGAAAACTTGGGTATCAGCGGTTAAAATGCAAATGCGAGTTCAGATTCAGCTGATCCTGTCATTTGTATACTCAGGAAGTTCTAAGTTCAAGTTGCCCGCACCACCACGTTCCTCTTAGGACATGTTGGGCCAAAACCTACCAACCAACCAACCCACTCCCTCCCCAGTTTCATTGCTTCTCTATGTTCTCCAAAGCAGGAATTTGGTTTTTAACCGACAACGCCGTAAAAGCATGGAGCCCTTCGCTGACGGATCATGCACAACTTGTGATTGAGGTCCACATGATTCAACGTGTCAACGGTTGGTAAAAGTAGGTGGTATGAATGATTGTCACAAGCGAAGGCACTCGTGCATTCACTTGTTTACCTGAGACAAAATGCGCTTGAATTTGACGTTTTGCAACAACCAGAACAGACTGATGAAGGTATATGATACATGATCATTTCATAACAGGATTTTACTAAAAATCAAGACGGGATAAGAGGACAATACTCAAGAGTTAAACAATGCTCTGGATATAAATTCTGTGTTACTAGCAATTATTTATGCTTGGTTATTTCCTCTAGAAATGTTATTTTCATCTGTTTTTACACAACATATGAAGGTCACCTCGTCTTAGTTTGGGATAATCTACCAAAAATTGTATTTTCTTATTCAAATATTGTTCACCTGTTTGTGTGATAATACGTTTTACATTTTTGAGATCTTGCATTCTCATGAATGCATTTTACTTCAGTCGTGTTATCCAATAACAATTCTTGCACAAGTGAGTTTCATGTTTCACCCAAAAGTCTGAAGGCTCCCCTGAAAAAAACTGTTTTATGGAATCATGTTGACCATGTACAGTCTCGAATTTTTTTGCAACATCGTGAATAGCATTTGATCTGACGAGTTCTATTCGATAAGTTGCGGTGATATGGCCAGCCGTGTAGGAAATCGTAAATACGCTTGCCAAATAAGAGTGACTACTAATATGAAAATGCAACAGAATATGCGTTACGCTAATCAAAAACCCTCCAGTCCATTACCTGACAGCACTAACCTTATACATTGATCCTTGTTTGATGAAATTTCGTTCCAGAATATTGTCCAAAACCGGATCCAGTTCTTCGCCTACGTCTTCAATGAGTAGTGGTCTACCCTGTGATAAAGCATCTTCCAGATGCTGGCGGAAATATTTATTACTTAGCGTAGTGCAGATCAAATCTCTGGTTTTCTCTCGATTTTGGATCCAAGAGCGACCCTGACCCTGTGGGTCAATCAACAGTGGGTATCGACTGGCCTGATCCACGATGATCCCGTTCTGTATGGACAGCTCATCTTTGGGCAATCCTTGCAGATTCCATTCTCCAATCTGAAAGCAAGATGTGGTCAAATCTTCATTATTTATTGAGTTTCACATAGAAACAAGAGGAAAGATAACATTTGGTTTAGCTGAATGGTCAAAGGGAATAGGTATCACGTCTCGCCCTCAAGAATGATTCTAAAAATATTATTCTGTAATAGCTGTTAGGAGTAAAGTAACTAAGGTTAGCTTCAAAGGGGGGAATTGAAATCAGAAAATTTAAAACGAAACCGCAAAAATGGTTGATTAGAGATAGGATTCACAAACGCCTAGAAAAACAGGAATACAGAAATTACTTCGAAGTCAGGTAACTCTATAATTCCCACAATAAGGAGCCTAATCTACATAGTTTCACTCAGCTTCATTTCCAAACTAACAGAATATCCGTTAAGAATGACTTTTATTTTTTGTTTATAACTATCTAATTGACCAGTTATTCTATGATTCCCAAAGTTGAACTGGAAATCAAATAGAAACTCCACCTGTTCAGTTGTTCATTTTTAATCTATCACTATCGTCTTCTTGCTCGCAATATACTGTTGTTTTTGTTTGCCCTATTCACATTCTGATGCATCACACCCCCACCCCCACTCACTTGAACTCTCAACCGAAATAAAGCACGCTGAATGATCGCCCTGGTCACTTGTCCAAACCAATATGGCAAACATGAAGTAGAAGGATCGGACAATTCACATACCTGTGTCTGGTCCGTGAGCATAGTGATCAAATTGACTGCCGCTGACCCGGGGACTTTTTTCAGACGAACTTCTCTTTGCCACGCAATGATCATTGACTGTCGAAATTCTTGATTAAATGGCCCGCAGTAAGAAAGGAAAGCGGTAGCAATCAGCACATCCCCGACAAGACTGAAATAATTAATGGTTCCAGAAGGGGGGAACGAAGATAAAGTGATCGTGTACAAAGGAACTTAGGTGATCACAACAGAGACATTTAAAGTCAAAAGTGATTGAACTGGAATACGAGAACATGGAACTAAGTATTCTACTATTGCACTGTAATCATTGATCTTCACTAATGGTATCTGGTGTGCAATTAACTGAGAATCTCTGCGCAAAATAATTAACCAATTTTCTTTGATTCAATCACGTGATAATTATTCGGAAGTATGGATTAGAAATTCACTTTCGGTTGGTGTTATCAAACCATTAAAATGACTCAATTTTTTCCGGTTAGTACTATTAACGCAAGCAGCACATTGAAGAGGTTAACTGACTCCATAGGTGCCACAAGAATAAGGGTTTCCACAATCATCATTATTAATTTATTCTTCGGTTATATTGATTCATTACAGTTTCATCACTGTTGGTGAATTTGTTTGGATCTTTTGTTACACTTTTGTTGTTGTCCAGACATGATGGCTCCTTTTAATATGTATCGGACAAAGCTCTCTGTAATCTAAATTTACACTTAACCACAACAATTTTGCACCCCAGTGCTATCTCAATCTACTCATTCTGGAGCTTCACTGCCAGCTTCCACGCGTTAAAGTGGTGAGAAGCCTTCCAACTTTCTATGTATCTTCTCAGAGATTGTAATTATCTTGATCGAGATTTTCATGATTTACTCTTTCACCTGGCGGTGGTGGCCCGATAGTAACGTCAACAAATTATCACCCCCGAGGACGTGTGTTCGAATCCCAATACCACCGCCCCATTGCCCCATTGTGCGTTATGTGGCAGCCCTTTGATTGGCAGCTTCCTCCTTCCTGAAAATTGTATCCTTGTATATATGATAAAAGGAAGAAAAAAGAACAAATTAAGAAGTATCTCGTCCCGGAAAAATGCATTGTGGCCTCTCAGCAAAAAGGTTGGCAAGCAGTGTCGTCTAGTTGTAACACAAATGTGCGCGCTAACTTCAATATGTCGTGATCCCAATCGATACCCAGAAACTCTCCGTACAAATGAAATCATACGCATACGTGTCCAGTTCAGTTCACTTTGTAAATCCAGCGGCCATGGACTTTCTTGCGATGGTTTTAGTTGCTGCCTTTTGTTCACTAATTTGCATGAAGGTGTAGGACGATAATTGTGTGCACCAGTCACAACGGTAAGTGTAAATCCATCTGATCATGGATACAGTATTTTTGGTTCATTGAGTTGTTTTCCTCGAATAAGTTGATTGATTCATATGTATACTTTCCTTTTAGTCTGAATCTACCATTACATTCATTCTGTGTTCTCTCTCCGTTTCAACTGTCAAAGCTAAGGACGGAATACGCCTTCTGTTTGACGGACACAATCCACGACTATAACCCGATTTACCATACAACAGGTCTTTATGAACAAGCGCTACAAGCTCTCTTTCAGATTATCTGATCGGGATGAGAAATCCAGAAGATTAAAGGAATAATTCAACAAACAACCTGCAACTAAGTACAAAGGCAAAATTTGACTGAAGACTCTTGTATCAAGTTCCATTCAATACCTGTCTAGAGTATGAACATTAAGAAGATTCTAGTTTGGTCGGAAGAAACAAACATGATAACACTCACTTATCAATATGTTCCTTGAACGATTTGCTCTGATCAGTCCAACGAACCTGCTCATCCGCTAAACTCCCAATCAAAGTGGAGGCTGCGTTCATTTTGCGACGACATAGGTCAGCATCATCCAGTAATGCTTGACGTTTATTCAAAGCTTCCTCGTAGACAGCCTGTACTTTGGCCAATTCACGTTCTTTCTCGTCCAGGATAGCTTGAGCTTCCTACAGGTGGGTAACCAGAGGTTTACGATTGCATACAAGGCATCAGTGGATGCAAAGTGACAGTTCAGACAAACAGAAATTTGTCATACACCTTCTTAACCCATTGATTGCAAAAACAAACTACGGATTTTCAATAGCAAATTAAGCGTAACCAAAAGCAAAGTTGTTTGGCCCCGTCAAAGCAGTCTTCCTATGGCATAACGCACTTTGGGCGAATCATGGCGCAATATCGATTTGTCTAAGGTGTGCAATGTCAGATGAACAATTTTAGTCCCACCAGTGCATAATTCCCATCGACCATTCATAGTTTGATTTTGACAGTCTGTGGGCTGAATATCCATTAGGATCATTTGAAGTTATCTTTTCTTGCTGTTATGATGACTTCAGTAGTCACCTGATTAGTTTATCATAGTTCATTCGCATAATTCGCAGTTTTTATAGAACTAGTGCTACATATATACGTGTAAATGCATACTAACACAAATTAGCTGAAACCCATTAGCTCCATTCAGTCACTACCAGCAGTAGAACTTTATTCATTCACTCATTGTGCTTTTTTATATTGACTACTCGTGACGGGCATGTGTACAATAAAAACATTTCAAAATCTCTCCTCAACCGATATTCTTTAGTATTCATTCCAAAAGATCTTATGACAATAGAAAAGGATATATAAAGGATAGGTAATAATTGTTGTCTTCAATTACTCAGACAGTGTTGTTAGGTATGAGGAGGATGCGGTTGAGGTATCTAGAATTGCACTCCTATTTGGACCCGAACATCAGGCGGTACCGTTTCGACAGCCAGATCTTTCAGAAAAATCACTTGGTTTGTTTACTATTTACCATGGCTATGTTGAATTGACGGATGAGTATCACGGTGGAGTAACCTGCTTGATATAATAGATCTTTTCGACCCTGTTTAAGTATACTAAGAATAAACTTCATTTTTCGAAGGCACCACTCGTTTTAGTGTTATTAGGTAGAAATCCCGAGGACAGATAACCAGTTTCGATAAGTAAATGTAGAAAAATATATTTTGAAAAACATGAAAAGAGTTCAGTAGTCTTTTTAGAAATAATTGTAAAGTAGCTTTATGTCTTGGCCAAAACTCGTAAAGCAATCACTGTGGTTGTTACACAGTGAGTTTTAAGGAAGATACGGCAAATCTGAATTGAATAATAAAAGCCCAATGCCACGAATGAGCGGGTTAAATAATTGATATTGATTCAACAATAGTGGAGTAAAGTATTGATAACAAACGATGCTCCAATTTCACCAAAAGTTAATTCAACACAAATAATAAAACCAGAATCATGTCATGAAGAAAAAGATCGGAATTCTGATTTTAGGTTTATAACTCAACTGTGCATCAGAGAAAATGATTTACACGTAAATGCTTCATTTAAACCTATGACTGACTGACTACTAGTAAGACGAAATGTTCACTATTCACACATTTACTCGCACATTCGAAAAGAAATAAACATCGGTTGCGAACAAGGTCTACATACAGTTTAATTTTAAGTTTTACCATTTTTTATTGATTTGACCTGACTTGACTTTTACGCACAATCCTCAGTTCATCGATTCAACCATATACTCGGAAGCACTAAACTCGAGTTTCGCTCTTATTACCGCTCATGAGCAGTGCATATTCACCGCCCCTTCCGGAATTTGAACTCCGGGCCCATCGCATGGAAGGCGTATGCGATACCACTGTACCAACCAGCTCATACCATTTATCAAAAACAACAGAAGCCCATGGTAACTCATTTAGTGTATAAAAGGTTTAACAAAATCAAGAGGTGTATTTTTCAATATACGGACGATAGGGGGTATAGCTGACGTAGAAACTATCAAGGAAGTTGGGTCTGAATCCGCTTCATTTTCTAAACGCTCAAGATGTCAGCTTACATTTCTACGGAAACCAGCCCAGTAAAAGGAAGTAAGTGAGAAAAGGTATTCATAGATACAATCATATAACTCAACACTGTAGCACGTAAACAAATAAGCATGGTGTTAATTTCATGAAAAAATCACCTAACACAAGCCGGATTTATATTATTGATGAAACGCCTATTTGATTGATTTTCTAACAGAATGGGTAGAATACTCATCTTTGACAATCAGCAAAGATCAAAAGATTGATGGGTTCTTTTAAACGTACAACATGAACGAGAAGAGCGTAGACTTGAATTTCGAAATATCACTCTTTGAGTTAAAAATGTATTAGATCTGTCATTATTTCTTTTGAAATCACATTTGATATATCATACGATAATGTTAGTCACGCCGTGTGCGAAGACGAGATCAATTTGACTCACTTGAAGATCCAAATTTGCTTTGGCCAAACGAGCCTCTTGTTTGACCAGGTTGTCTTTAAGTGGTAAAACTTCCTTGTTAATTGAATAGAAATATGCCATTGCTCGTGTCCAAGAGAGTAATCCGGCCACATTCCCGCAAACCTTCTTAGCTACTTCTAAATTATAATCTTCCATAGTGATATACGGTTCCAACAGCTCTACTGTCTCCTCATTGATCAAGTCTTTGGGGAAAGTCATCAACAGAGTTAGAAAACCGGTATTGGTCATAAATTTCAACGACTCTGACCAGCTTGGACGTGGGCATTGACGTTCCATGTCTGCTTGATAAGGGTCCACGTGACGTTGGAACAAAATCAGTACACAGTCCATTATACGCATGATAAGATTGGGTGGTTTGCCTAATCGCCTCACAGTGGCAATATCAGCTGGTTTGATGGTATTTAGCGCTTCTGCGGCCTCCTGTAAAGCTGGTTTAGCGGCTTCCAATTTCGCCTCTGCTACAGCTCGATCACGATCGATCTCGTCAACAATAGCTTGAGCTTTATCTTTCACTGCCTGGACACGATTTCGGATCTCGGTGGAAGCTTTTTGCTGTGCTGTGACCTATGAGGAGAGCGATAATTCACAGGTGTTACGATTAGGATTATGTCATCCGCATTAGTTATATGAGAATGCATTTTATCAAAAGTTTGAGAAAATTTACCGCAGAAAACCAACATTGTTAGATTTCATTTAAGTAGTTTACAAGAAAGTAACTAAAAATCTGTAGCAGGTTTCAGATGACTTAGGTCGTTTGCTTTAACTTTTTCTCATATTTATTTCTAGACAAGAACAAGTACTTTTTTAGATAGTGTATTTCGAACAAAACATTTCTATCGATGGTATTGTCAGTTTATTGCGAACTGAATCGAACCTCCTCGACCGACAATATCTTACTCAAAGTGTCTTTGGATTTGATGACCGAGAGAAACAGGTGGAATGAAAAACTAGAGCAAAAAGGGATAAATGTTGCATTTGTTGAATCATGTAATGAATAGGTTACATTTGAAATCAACTATCCAAGCAGCGTTGTATACCTCCTCAAATGAAGGATAGCACTGTACTTTACTGGTCAGTCTGAGGGAGAATCACCGCAATGAAACTTCGATGATCTACAAACTTATGACACATTAGTATACATTACAAAAAGGAATAGGCTGAGTTATGTAAGCGCGTGAACGGATCAGTTAGTTTCCTTTAGTTTTTACAAAAATTAACCATGCACCTTTGTGCAGCATTTTGGGTTGTTGTCGATAGGCTGCCCATTTGGATAAAACAGCAGAAGGAAGACTGAACTGTTGGGAGCAGAGTCAAAGAGAAGATGGAAAATTCTCACAGACCAAAGTTGTAAAAATATTGAGTAGGTGCACGAGCACCACTGTTTGCGACACTCAGTCATATCACTCCCTGCCTCTGATCACCAGTTACGATGATTCTGAGGTCTCCATCTAGGAAGCCTAATGTGACTCATATGACTGAGTCTCTTAGTTAGTGTTTTCATATTCTCCTGCCGCCCTTGATAATTGCACCCATTACCGGCTTCAGCAAACATTGCATGCCGTGGTAACCTATTTGGTGGCATATGTAAGACACTCCACCCAGTGTAATCTATGGAGGTCAACCGCTTGCCACAGTCGGAGACTTTGATCGTCTAAAACTCTGCGTCTAACCTCAGCATTGCTGGTCCGATTTCCCCTCCAGGCTGAGGCAATTTGGGGTAGATAGCGGTGTTTTGAGCACCGATTCGCATGAACGAATCAAAATTTTTAGCAGAGTCTTCTATATAGTCACTCAGTTGCCTTGAGAAGAAAATTTACGTACCATTTCAACCGCAATAGTCATTTGTACTAGTACTTAGAACAGTTACAAGTGATCCTTTGTGAAATATATTTATCCCCAAAGTCCACAAGCTCTTCTATAAGTTGGCTTTAATTGGCATTCGTGTGAACTATTGACTACACTTCTCTACACTATTTATCGCCATTAAAACGTTTACCAGTAGGAATTTGTCCGGCATTGAAGACCAACACTATACAGGTAGTGGACGAGTGGTATAAATCGTTTGGGTGCTCATAATCTGAAAATTTGTTGACGGGAAGAGGTGACGTACCGTTTGTAGGACACGCTCAGCTTCTTGGTTGGCCACCTCAAGTTCTTTCTCCTTCACGGCCAACTCCTTGCTTAGCTCAGCCACATTGCCCTGTGCCTCCATCAGTTTTTGCAATCCGCTGTTCATGCGCTGAGCTTGACCGGCAAAATGGGCATGTTGTTGCTTGTAGATCGTTTTGTAAGAGACCAGAAACGACAAATATGACTTCGGTGTGACATGGGTTTGACGTCGATATCTAATGCGAGGGGAGAATAAAACCAGACGAAATAACAATAGGAGTGTCTGGTGCCTGTTGATAATCGAATGGGCCAATCTAAGCTTGCTACTGTAAGACGAAACAACAGTTTTATAGCCCTTCAGAGGAATGTTTATCTTTGAACGACTGCGGTTTGGGTGCATAAATTCTGCAACCAACTTTGAGGTACACACATACCGTAGTAGTCAAGCTTAACTCATTAATTTCTTTTTCAGTTATCGTAGAAAAGTAAGAAGAAATTACGATTTAGGTGGAATATGACTACATTAGATCAACGACAATATTGTGATTTCTTACAATAATCACCCCGATCAACCTAATTCATTCCGATCAGACTGCATCCTGATGTAATAATTTGACTTGCGCATATCTGTGACCCAACGAACCACATAGAATGGCTTTCGTCAAAACAAAACATCTCACCTGACCTGAAAGATCGGCGGGTAGAAGTTGAACAAAGTTCAGTCTTCTGCTTACGGATTCACCTTATTCGGTAAAAAATGGTAGAGAAATAATTGCCAATTAGCACTATAGGGGATGCACCAGTGAACAAACTGTAGGTGCGGAGGCTTTGTTAATCTCTGGATCTGTAGGCTTTAAAAGTAAGGAATCTCCTGCATGTGGGTCAACAAGCCGGAGTTGTTCTATTTCGCCTGTTCGCCGAGCTTGGCGATTTGTTTATAAACGTTTCATCACCAGCCGAGGTGACATCATCAGTGCTTGTGAAGTGTTCTGAGTTGCTTGTACGATGATGACTTTGGTAATAAATGTCTGCTGTGTATCGGAAACAAATTCCAGATCCTAGTATAGTTTAAGCCTTACAACTGCACCATCTTTGTTCCCGAGACACTCACGGTACATTGCACGACGATGAACTGCAATCCGTGGGTCGGTGCGGTCTATCGTACTAGACAACAAAGATGAAATTTCATTTGTTGATTGAATTTTCATAAGCAGTTGTTTGTCTATGTAATGTTGCTCCTTGGTTGAATCAAAAGCGAAGTGACGTTAATCTGTTCTGTATCTCATTACCCCCGTCTTCTGTCATTATTTGTGTTACGTTAGCATCATGCTTGTTCACAAGCAGTTGATATATATATTTACATATATATATGATGCCAACATAACAAAAATAATGGCAGAAAACAGGGGTAATGAGATACATATTATTACATTATGTATATTATTAGTACATTATATATATATAATAGGTAGTATGTGAATGACTGGACAAAATTTCCGTGGAAGCACACGATCGATATCGTCGATCGTCAGACATGCGTATCCGGTAATCTTTTGTCAGTTCATTCATATACTTGTACCCAGGAAGTGTATTTTCTTCGCAATAACCTTGTTTGCAACGCCGGGTGACTTTTGGATAGACAGCTATTTCAGAGCCAGTTCATTGAAGAATCAATGCTTTGATTCGATGTTCTGTAGGTGGGTTAAATGCTTCTAACCGCAACCAACGTGGTCGTCTTAAAAGAATATTTTATAATATTTTATTTTATGTAGTATGTGAATGACAGGATAATATACATACCAGCTCAACAAACGGATAGCGAAGATCGACTTCTTCACTATTATACCGATCAACAGTGTTTCCTGTCTAATACCAACATCCGACTTATCTCCCAAAAGCGGATAATATGACGTTCCACAGCGACGGGTGAGCTGACCCAAAGTGTAATAACCTACCACGGATGGGACTCGTTACAAAATTGCAAATCCTATCGGCAAACTTAACTGAGTCTGTTTACGCGATAGTTCTGATGCATTTTGAGCTTTAGTTCAATGTTTGCCGCAAAATCCAGCTAAATCGGTTGCTCTGCCATCTCCTTTCTTATCCAGCTGCTCAAAGGAAGAGCAAAAATACGAGTTAGGAGCTCGGAAACGTGATATTTCGAGAATCAGTAACCCAGATAAAGGAGACGAACGAAAAAGAAGAAGCATCCCAGCCGACCAGGATCAAAACAGTATTGGCTGCTTTCTGCAATGGCAATTCACGAAAGATCGTGTGAACGGATGGACAAAAATAGCTCGTTAAACGGAAGTAGCGGATACCCCATGGAATAACCAAAATCTCTCCCAGCTAGGGCGCCAAATCTCAGGTAGGTGAATCTCGGTCACCGAAATAACCTCCAATAAAAGTTAACAAGCTCTTCACAACAAAGAGTAGAATACTTCCAATGGCAATTCTGATTGAAACACTGTATTCCACTGGCGATGGTTGCACACATTCTCCCAAGAGTGAGTCAAAATTCTGTGAAACATTCGTCAGTTTCGCTGTGAGCAAATTATTTTTTCAACTGATAGTACTCGAACAAGCCGCTCCATTGGGAGTTTCTACGTTCAAAATTACTCGAAAAGTTGAATTTGCAGGCAAGATCGCTTACATCTATCGAAAATGCGAAAGGTATCAGTCATGTATGATGTTTCCTGTGTTTGACTGAAATATACAGTTGGGAGGTAGTGTAGTTTGTAAACTTTCAGAAGCGTCAGAGTACAAGTTACAATTTCAGGTAAACCCTTGGTAAATTTTCCGCAATCAGTTCAGATTCAGTAAATAAGGACCCTCCCAACTTGAGCATGAGTTGAACATTCGGGCCAAATGTTCTACAAGCTCTTCAGAATACTCTTCTATCAGTTCGGGGGAAATTAGTTCTAGGGCTGTTGTTTTCTTAGTTTTATGACGCCTTCAGGAACTCTGCCGATTGATGGAATTGAGGTCCTTCGGAAGTAGATCGATGAAAGGGGTCTTAACTTCTGCAGTTGTTACAATTTGCCAAGTCAAGACCTCAAAATCACATCTGGAACTTTCAGGTATACCGCAAAGCTATTTTGAGTGTAAACATGTCTTATGGCAGGTCTCTCTGGAGAGAATAAAGTTGAAATATAGTTCCATGAACCGACAGATCTCATGGTTGATAAGAAGATTTGACGTTCAATCAAATTTACCCTCCCGTTCATGTGTGTCCGTTCTTTCTTCCGGTGGAGACGTATCATAGGAAGAGTTAAAAACCGATCGTGCAAAATAGAATTAGTTTTAACGGGGCGGAATAAACCGTAACAAAATCTTAAGTAAACTGAAAGGTGCTTGCAGCATTAACAATACACAGGGTTCAAAGGTACGGAAAAGTCAGTGGAGCACAATCAGTGTTGATGAAACCTAAAGAAAAAGGAAACGTTGTATCGAAGCGCTTGAAGTCAACTTCAAAAATACGTAGAGAGTTACCAGAACACCCAACAAGATGATGGGAAACTGAGTCAGCAAATGCTTCAAGAGTAAATGTAGCGGAATCTGATGGGATCCAAATTTTCACCAAAAGGAAATCGCGAAATGGACTGAGAAAGCAAGGACTCAACGGATAACCATAGAGTTTATCTTGTAGAAAATCCAAATGAAATGTCTGAACTCCCACATCAGCGCTATTTTATAAGGGCTACCATACCACCACCAAATTTGTTGTGGTAGTTCACAGAGCGATCATTCCTGTAGAGGTCAAAACCATTACGTTTGATAGCATCATTGTGTTTACCAAAATGTAAACAGCTTGCTTGTAGCAAGCTAATCCCCGCGCTTTGGTGTACACAGCTGGGGCAACATTATCGATAACGTTAGGTTTTAGGAACAAAGAGCAAATATTGCTTTTAATTACACTTGAAATATTGATTCTGTTAGGCATTTGTCTTTAAAGAGCGATTTTTCAGTCAATACCATGCATGACTGTTCGTCCTTGAAACTTCTGCAGCAGTCTTTTGAAAAGACTACAAACAACACGTGCGAAAGCAGATAAGTAAAATTCATATGCAACCGAACACAGGGATTTTAAAAAACAAGATTTTATCCATATTTTGTCTTTGACTAATACAAAAATCAAGATTGAAAAGAGAATCACGGTATTCTAATGTGATTTCAAGGGTAGAAAAACTTTCAAATACCCAGGGCCCCTTGCGCGTGCGTACTCACGTACCAGCATTCTTGAAAATTTAGACAATACTGAATGCTCATTAAGATAAATTTGTATTTCTTAGTTTTATATCACATCCTCAATTCGTGAAAACTTTTCATAAAAAACACTTGTGTCGCACCGTGAATCGTTAAAACATTTTGATTAGTTATCTTTCTCACGAAATCTCATTATCAAGTTAGGCTACTCATGAGTAGTAAATATGACAATTAAAATAATAAATGATGGTAGTAAAGGGTAGTAAAGGAAAATGCGAAGACTCCAAATACATATAATGCATACAATTAATAAATTACCTTCATCGTCGAAAAATCTTTCTCGTTTATTCAATAATGTCTACAAACTATACAAATTTCATCACATATCAAACATATATCATATATCAAACACACCAAACTTCAGAGATTGTATGCACCCAACTGAGACAACAAGAATCAGTTTGTAGCGGAGTTTTAGGTAACCGCGGGCGCCCACTGGAACAAACGGTCGACCTCTATAGATTACATTGGTTTGGGCATGTGTTACGCATGTCACCAAATAAATAGTCATGGCGCGCTAGGTCTTCCGAGGCAGATAATGGGTAGTGAGTGATCAAAATAAGACTTGGCACGAGGATATGAAAACCCTAATCAGGAGACTCAGTTATGTAGGTCGCGTTAGGCTTCCTGGATGGGAACCTCGGGATCATTGTAATCAATAGTTAGAGACACTAAATGAAACAAATGAGTGTTGTAGACAGTAGCCTTTTGCATGTTCTCGATTTATTTGCAAAATTAGTCTACTGAAATTCTGCATTTTCTCTTCTACTCTACTTTCAACTTTCCTGTCTTTCTCCTTCTGCTTCATCCAAATGGGCAGCTAAAAGACAGTAAACAAAACCGATGGACGAAAGTAAATGGTTATTGATTCTACGAACTGAAAACGGAAAACTGGGATAACCTGGCCATATCACTGAATGACACGGTTGGGTGTGTTTATTGCCGAGAATTCCTCAAGGGATTTCTGAAATCAAACAGAATACACTCAAGTTATATAAAACTTATTGTAGCAAATGGCAATTATTAACAAATGAAATCAAGTCGAATGACAATCAACCAGCTTCCAAAATCGAGACTTACCGCGAAAAGTACTCTACACAAGATTCCGCAACACCATCATGCACAACCCCCATGGTGTTTATTAATTCCCGTTGTACTCCAGCGGAACAGATAATGGGGAACTCATTCAGATAGTGGTCAGCCACGGCAATAAGCGCTTCCTTCGGCCAGCGATGGAACCAAATTATTGTACAGCCGGAAAACAGACCGGGAAATTTTAAAGCCCTACGTCGAAACTTCTCTCCGACCGGGGAGAAACAAAGTGAAACGTGCAAATTTTGCCGAGTTCGACTGTAAAAGTAGGCCAGCAGATTCTCGTTTGTCGGAGCACGACGGGGAAACTCTTTTTTCATTATTGGAATCAGATCCTGACAAATCTCATCCATTTCGTCACGAGCAAACAAGTTGGCAATTACTCCAGATGCCAACATGTTGTTCATGTACTCCAAAAATGCTTCATCTTTGATTTCCTGGTCCGTAAATAAGAACGTAATACCTTTGCCTTTTAGGCCCGCAGTCCGGTACAGTAATTTTAGATCGTCCAGTAGATTGTTAACATTGTATGAACTACAGGTTATTGAAAAGAATGATGTGGAAAATTTGAAAATAAGTTACGCAGAAGATATGCCTAAGAGTGCAGGAACATTTGCTTTGCTTTGTAAAAATGATTGGTTTAATAGAAGTTTTTCTTGGAAAATTATGGAAACACTATTTGAAAACAGTTTAGGAATGAAACGTTCGAAGATGCACTCGGCTAACTCTCTCCAAAATGTGAGGATTGTGACTTGAAAAATTCCATCAAAAAGAAGAATAACAGCCATCATCTCGAGATGCGCTCTTTTCATTTACAGTATAAAACGTTTAATGTAGCTGGGCTCTGTTGCTTTACGTCGCAAACGGTGTCGATTAGAGTCGTTCTTAATTCTCAAACTGCATTTAGGTTGAAAACCACTAAGTTGGTAACTGAAAGGATTGAACAGCTGAAAATTCACCCGTTGGGTGCATAAAGCTTTTCTTGACTTGACTTGACTTTCATGATAACATATATAGCTAATGGGTTACAAGGCGTATCTGACAGGAATAACTTCTCTGAGCTGGCAGGCTGTCCTATCCCTTCACGCATATTACACGTCCATTGTCCCTACCGTTGACTCACCTATCGGGTGCGTTGGCATCCGCACCCAGCGAACCGTTCAAGAGGATAACCTACTCCTAAAACGTCAGTGACACGGTATGCGAAGTTAGCTACTCCTCCTCTTTGAAACAGGAAATGGCTGATCTTTTGAGATGCAGGTGACTATTATTCAAAGTTTATTACCGTGCTAATGGAAGAAATGGGCAGTCATAAGTTCCCTGTTGCTGTAAGTTAGCAATTTGTAATATATTGTGTTCTAATTAAACCGATAATCGAATCCGCGATATATGGCATCTCTAACCGTGAACCATTCCTGTGAGGCATATAGTTAAAAGGGAATTGTATCAGGCTATGGTTTATATGAGTCGTAAGGGATGTGGCCTTATTCTTCTGAATTAAAAAAATTGCATTAGGTAATACAAAACACGAGTTTCATCCGACCTAAACAGCCTATTAACTATACTGGACTACATGTTAAACCCTTTAAGCACCTATCCCCTTCACTCAAAGCGCCTAACAACCCTTTGCTTCCACTGAAACGCTTTTCCGTGTATTTCTTAGCTAGTTGTCTTAATTTTGGTTGTCGATAGGTCAAGCTCGCTCCATCAAAACGCAGTGAATACCTGTCATGCACACTGGTTCCCACTACAATGCACTTACCGAGTAAGAGTGATCTGTTGGGTCTGGTAGCCCGCAATGAATGAGGCCAATCGAGTGAGGGACTGCTTGCCCGATCCGCCAACTCCAACAAGCAGCGCGTGTCCCCGAGGCATATACAAAATGCGAGCTATGCGAACTAGCTGAGTCATGGCATCCTGAAAGAGCACCAGATCCATATGCGCTCCACGAATACTCTCATTGTACTGGCGAAGGAATGCTGATAGTCTGGAGCTCAGTTTTTGGAAAGAATCAATCTGATAAAAGGGTGAAGTGGGGTATTTTGTAGTGATCAGACATATTAGTGAATCGCTTTTGGTCAAATGAAACGATGAAAGCTTAAAATACAGATCAAATTTACCAAACATATAGGTGGAAGCAGCGAACTGGCGAAGCCGAATCACTGAACCGCTCAATCGAACATAGCTCTAGGATTGGCCTTTTTCAATTAAATAGTAACTCGGTTGGAGGGCGGTTCTCAGTTGAATGGGTCAATCAGGTAATATAAATGCTTCTGAGTTCGCAGTCTTTCATAAGAGAAATTCTGTTTCATTTTAGGTGAAAACAAACCATCCACCAGAGTGATTGCCCATGTTCAACCATAATGACCATCAGCTGATCTCGTGTGACAGTTTGGTATCTCAACTCACCAAAGTCCGTGCAAACAACTTAGACGGAGGCCTCAGCATGGTCGGGGTGTGGGTGACTCGAGTTGCGGCTGGTCACTCCTCCCTTGCATCTGGTAAAATGCATCCGTAAGGCCAAGTGTCTCAAATGGCCCCTGCTGAGGAAGCCCTACACACTGCCTTCTCGTGGTGTGGATGTTTTCTTACCAAATTGAGAGGACAAAAGTCAACATCCGGGGCTATAACCAGGTTGGTGAAGCACTGGTAGTTCACCTAGGGGAGTTGGCTAAAACCATGATTCCAAACCAACCAAAAGGAGGCGCACGAAACACACATTTTCCTGGTAGTGGTAGTGGTAGTGGTCATTGGCTCGATTGCGCATCAAGATGTATTTGACAAGGTGGACGTTTGACCCCGTCCAAATGGCCTATGATCAGATGAACTGGACATCGACCCCGCTGTCCTGCGGGTCAAGTTCTGGTTAGCCAAAGGCCCCAGTTGTTAATTCCTTAAGAAAATTCACGTGCGTGGGCGTGGGCAATTTAGCCCACATGTAAATCATGGAAATTGTTTCATTTTTTAAACATTAATTTCCCATGATTTTTGTGGCACCCTTTCCGGTACCTGGAGTGTGTAAAACACATAAACATATAAATGGTTTCTCCAGTTACCATATCGGACCGAGCCCTGCTGATACCTGTGGAGTATGCGCGATCAACGCCAAAAGATAGCAGCCAAAAACGGGGCATAAAAAGGCGTGGATAATGGTTGCAAAAAACCGAAACCGACCGAGAGTAATTAATGCCTGTACCATTGCTTACACCTGTTGAATGATGCTGTAATAGAATAGATAAGCAATAACTCAAGCGCCAGCAGTAAGACAACAATGGATCATGCTCGAGCGATATACAGGTCACTGTCGGCCAGATTCGCACCCCGTCTGTGGGACGCTTGCAGATTATATTCCAACTCTGTTGGAAAATGAATCGTTTCTCAAAAATGCAATCTTCTGAGTGTGAACTCTGAAGTTGATAATCCTTCTCGGAGAAATCACATAGTCCTTTTAAAACACTTTCACCATACAAAATAAGCCGAATGAACTAGGGTTGAGGTATGACATTCACAAGTAGCTAATGCGAACTGGCTTCGAACAATCTTATTGTCAAATAACGTTAACCGAATACCGGAAGGTGATCACGAATTACAGGGGTACTCCGCTTTCTCCCTTCAAGTGTTTCTTATGAATTGTATTGCAGCATCATGCAACGGACGTAAGCAAGCGTTCAAGCGTTGATTGCCTATGATCCACAGATATCAGCTGGGCATGGCATGATATGACTTTCAAGGAGGGGGACAGACACACACACAGACGCGCACGCGTGTCAGCAAGGTAAACAATCCAGATATGTTATGGGTATTGGGGTGGGTGACGGAAGCACGTCGTACAATCGTCAAGCCCGTGCTTCAACAGGACGTTTAGAAGTCTGCTGCATGGTGGTCATCCAGACATCGATGGCAGGCTTGAAATTACATGAGCCAATGCGGTCAATGAGGCAGCTTGAAATGATACCCGGACATCTCGTAATGACAGCCGGACCTTCTGAATTGATAATCAGACAATATGACTCGAAACAGGTATAGATTATCCACTACAGAACCACGGTAAGCGGCCAATTGGGGTGCTATAGCACTGAGATATGCCAATGACCAAATGCTCAGTGATTGACTGGATTGAACGGTGACCTTTTGCCGATAAAGTGGCGAGTTTTATCAGCATTGAAATGGCTTGAAGTATCCTGCGCCGGATCCTGTTTTAATGCCTCGTTTTATTCAAGCGCAAATAACTAAACTACGGTGAACCTGGAGCAACCGCTTAGGTGTGCTCATCAAGTCTTCCTCTGCCTGTTACCTTTCGTGAACGGTCAGAAAACGCAGAAAAATCTCTCAGGTAACTCACCGGTTCATATATACGAGGTGCTTCGATGATGAAATCATCCGGTTCATCTCCGGTCGGTTCGGGTGGATCTCTGAAGCGTGGAGAATATGCAGTTTATGATTGCATATAAAACCCAAACGAAAATGTAGCAATCATCGTACTGCATACAGACACAAACTTCGGGTAAGAATGAGCAAATCAATTTGTTTGTTAACTGTTAAAAGTGCGCTATAAATAAAGTTAATGGAGCATGGGAAGCAAGCTGATATTCCCGTTGAAACATATCGATTTTGGTACTGATGCACAGACTATATTCATGAACTCAAAGATTCATTGATGAAATAATCAAAGGGTTGGTGGATAGATAGTAAGTTCGGGATGATGATTTTATTAACTAACACTCAATGCGGAACGCTTTTAACCTCATTTATTGAGAAAGTGATGATTTCATCTATTCGAGAATGTTCTCTATCTTACCGCATGAAATTGACGAAATAGTTAGCATCTTTGGACGTCATGTCCGAATATTCCTGGTCCATTTGTTCACCAACGATTCGCTTCAAAGTTGTTTCAAACCATCGGTTATCTTCACTATTGGTGAATCTGATCCGAGAAACAGGGTCAACGAATGAATTTATCAATAGCATAAAGAAAATAATTTAAGCAATAATAACATGTTTCGTGTAACCAGCAGCTGGCAGAAATTAGGTAGTTGTTCATGACGCTGATTCTGGAACTTGGTCAATTGGGCCGCATTGAACCTCCCGACTGTGAACCTCGGGATCAAACGAGTCAATGATACTGATCGATATGATGGAATGTCCTAAGCACTGGTGCTCGTACATTTACGAAATTTTTCTGCAGATTTAGTTTACATCCGACACCATCGGTGTGGGCGTATAGGGGGAGTATGATTTACCGGTGCAATATTAGTGTGGGTTATTCACGAAAATATGTTCTCAGTTTCTCACCTAAATGCTATCTTCGTTTTATTCACATGTTGTCGCTAACTAATGACACAAATTTTATAATTTTGTCACCTAAGAGCGCACTTCGAAAATTTAGTTGGTCTGCTTTTCAGTTTTGATGTGAACAAATCATTTCCACTTAAACAGTTGCAATCACCTATATGAAACGTGACAATCAGTATAGCCATGGATATCCTTTAGTGCTAGACAGATTCATCCCAAGATTGGAACTGAAAGCAAGACCTCCGAGAACGATCCATTCTCGTAAACGATAGCCGAAGGATAAGAAACAGGCCTTTACTTTTTTATCTGTCTGTACGAAGACATTTTGTCTGCGTCTCCGAACTGGTACACTAAAACGTATTCCTTCCAACCGTTGCATCAATAACTTTGTTGTTCAAGCACTTTTATAAATTTATGCGCTTTAATTCAAATATATAAACCTAATCGATTACCGGTTTGCCACACGATATACAGTTAACGACATTCAAAATGAAAGAGTACATGCCATTATAAATCGGATTTTTATCGAAATATGGCTGATTTTGGTATCTCGAAGATTGTCCATTTTCTGATTGCGATTTAGAGTGAGTTTCCTCTTTCTGGATAGCACAACTAGACGGATCACGACTAGTTTCCGTTCATATTTGGCGTTTTGACTGATTAGCTTATTCTGACTTACAGCGTGACTTGAGCGTCAGATTTATTTGCTCAATTCCTCTCTGATTAGCTTCTGCATCATCGAGAGGTGGCGCTTTTTTATTGCTGTCGGTCCGGTTTTGATGCAACCTGACGTGTTAATCGATGGGTTTTGTCTGAACCAGTCGATATGGATACACATTACCCACCTGTGTATGTGTTGTAGATTTCGGCCAGGAAATAAGCTCTAGAAAATGTTGAATGTGATCTCGTCATCGTTTGATTTAACGAGCAGCAAGTCATGTTACTCCGGAACCTGATTGTTTTTTGCTGGCACCATGCCCGTTCCTGCGATATCTAACAGACACTGAATGTGAATCATGTGTTTACGCGTTTAATTCGAGTGGTGTTGCAAGAAATCATTGGGAAAGACAAGATCATCAACTCACCTCACTGTATGTGTGATTTTTAGTTATTTGTATTTGCAACTGAGTGCACTAAATAGATCCGATGAGCTTGTAGATTAGTGGGTTACCGAACCACAAACATCGTAAGCATTCTTCCGTGTTCGCTAATTGATAAGTCTACCTAATTCATAAAAATAATTGTCTCTGTCAGTGGAAAATAAAAGCTGAGTTAAGCAGTACTGCTATTTATCTTAGAAAACCCGTATTTTGCTTCGGACAATCAGTGACATTCATTATAATCAGTCAGAATGTCATTAGTGAACGTGTCTGGATATGAAAAGATAAAAAATATTTTAGCTTTCAAAATTCATTCATCAAATTTGCTGACACTAGGTCTCTCTACCCAAAAAGATCTGAGGATTTTACGGACGCAAACGGCAACACAACCCATGAAACATTCACTTCGAAAGAATGAAAAGCAGCACGGGGCATGCAAATGAGTCGGGAAGTTATCTGAAGAGCTGCCCTTAATGCATGTATCACCATCACTGTACAGCTAATTAAGACGAAGCAAACTGAATGCTGCGAGGGTCCCCATATGTGAGTTAAACAGTGTACTTTGGCACAGGGTTAAAGCGAACTACTTTGGTCAGCGTATCAAGTTAGCAGTTTACCTGTAACTAAAGACCGCGTCAGGCTATCTGGTTCGGCAATTAACGACAACTAAAACATCACAAATCACCAATACCCCTTTTTTCTTACAACGGAAAAGGTTTCCTGACAAGAGCGCATAGAAAACTGAAACATTTATTCCCCGAGATAAACTTGAAGCTAGGTCCCACGATTTACGTCAAAGAACCAAAATATGCATTGGCATAAATCTTGTAACCTATCTCTGTTGTGCTCTTCAAGAAAAGTTTTCATTCGCTGCAACACCCAACATAAACCTCTTTGACACCATCTAATGTCAGTAAATGAATATTTGTCACAGGAACACTTGGTTAAAAGATGAAACCGATAATCAAATGCAAAGGATAAATTTTGTTCTTTAAAAGTATTACTATTTTTTGTTGGGAACTAATCGCTACAGTGTGCACTGCTGCAATACACAAACCTATCTATTGAGTTAGTATTTCGTTGTCTCAACTGTCTACTCACTTTTTGATTTATCGTAATATTTGTGTATCTGTGAATATATATGCATAACAGTAAAAATGTTTTTTCATCACAAATAGAATTCCGCAGACTGGACAAAATGCATCGCAACCATGTCGACTTGCATTGCGCGTTTCAAATTCACAATCAATTTATTTTTATATTATCCACCAATTTATTACCCGCTTTGACCAACCACAGAAATCTGTTTGATCAGTATTTATCGGGTGAAAATACCCCATTAAAAGCTACTGAGGTGCTTGTGATAAACAACAAGGAAATAATGTGAAGAGATCCAATAACCGGTTACCAGTTACATTGGCAATCCAAACACTGCGCTTACCGATCGGCCAGTACTCGAGTACACTCATGCTGCCACAACGCCATCATTCGTTCCGAGTTGCGAATCACTTCAGCCGTGGTGGAGATCATTCCTTGCCAAATCCGACTCAGATCACGCAGATTGAAAATGTAGTGAAATTTGGCCGGAGTGGGTAACATGCGTCCCTTGGTCACCTGCCACAAAACACGTGTGACCGGGACCAACCGAGTGACCAGATCACAAATTTCTACGGTGAATCCGCGTTCAGTGCAGTAGTGTCCGTTTGCTATCGCGCCGAATATTCGATCGATCGAGGCGGAACTCGGCAGTGTGCAGTTAAAGATGCAAAATTGCCGTTTCAATCGTTGAGGGATATCATTACGCCCCGAACCGGGATGAACCATTGCAGCGATGAATTGCATGTCCACAATGGAAGTGAAATCACCCGGTTTTTGTAAATTGTAAAACCCGTTCATTTCAATTAACTGACGAACAATTTCATTGGCCACCTTCAAGGAGAGTGTTGGACGAATAAACAAGAGTAGACCAAAAATGATCCCGGAGAAACATGACAAGACTCATGCCTGAATACCTGAGAGATGATAGTTGAATAAGTAGCCTGAAGTCATTGCCTGAAAATTTACTANTTACTATGCTAAACCAAAGTGGTACAATAGTGAAGAAGAAACAAACCTGAAAGCAAAGTAAATTGTGTTTGAATCTACGTTAGAGTCACTTCGTTGTCAGTTGACCACTAAGTATCAGAATGCATACTCTTCGCCGCCCGACAGAATGTGTTTTAAATATTTCCATTTGTTCTGTTGTCAAGTATCGTAATTCATTTCACTGTTCATTGTCACGCAAGACTTTGATGTTCGGGAGCTGAGTGCGACTAAAACTTCAGTCACCATCCTCCTCGTGAACTCTTTCACGGTTGACTGTGGCTGTAACGAAAAANAACGAAAAACAACCTCAGGACAATATCCGACGTCGATTCAGACAGATAGGAGGTATGTGCAAGAACTCAAGAACAAGATGCACATCCGAGTCTACCACGCGTCTCAATATTTAAATTGAATTATTAAGGAATATATTATAAATACAAACAGTCACTGAGAAAAGTAGTACATACCACAAAAATCAACTTTGAGTAGTCTGTACTCTGCTATTGAACAATCTTTGGGGATGCATCTAATGGAATTTCCTAACTCTTTTCGACCTGACCTCTAAATTATGACAGGATTTTACGAAATATTTTTCACAATAATCTAGCAGGTGCATTTAAACAAAATACCGATTCCGAAATCCCCATGACCTGTTCTATACCGAGGAATAGGGCAGGAACCAAAATGATGACCTACTTCCTGGTTCACAAAAACCCATGTTGAACTTGTTCGCTCATCCGCATCAAGGGTCAGTAGTTTGCAATGATTTGAATGATGCAACATCCCAGAGCTTTGCACGAGCATATAAATAGTTCACTTTCNCAGTTTATAGGACCATTAACAAAGCCCATTCGTTCCACAATTTTGGTTGATATCCATCGGCGGCTTATTTAAATGAAGAAGTAGAGGGACGAACTAGAAAGCTGAGAGTGGTACCAAGATAAAGATAAAGATTCAGATAGATCATAC